TTGATAATAGAGAAGAAGAATGTACGATTATGTTAATATTTCTAATTCTTTTCTCTTTTTTTTTTAAAGAAAACTCATATTACTCAATATAATATACATTTAAACAATTTTTATAATATTTAAAGTAAATTATCACATCACAACATTAATTACATTTAAATCAAACATTAAATGCTCATAAAAATATGGTATTAAGGATAATTTGGACATTTTGCACCAAAAAAGTGACTTTTTACTCATAAAAAGTGAAAATGACAATTTTTTTTTGAATTTTCAAATTTAGTGAAATTTATGAAAATTCCTCATGACACAAATGAATTAAAAGAAAAAGAACAATTTGTGCAAAACAATAAATGATACTTACATTTTGCAGCAATTACCTATTCTTTTATAACTGGGAAGACCATTTTGTTCAAGATTGAGTTTGTTGACATTTTCAAAACCACTAAAAAGATCCTACAGTCTTGACAAAAAGTGTGGTGAATCATCTTATACCTATTCAAATTAATATTACTTCAATTTGAATATTATAGAAAATCTGACCATTGTGTAATCCACGCAAGAAAAACTTCCATTAATTATTGAATAATTCTATTTGTACATCAAAAAATATACATAAGGGTGTATACTCCCCTCACATGAGAGTGTGATCCACTTGTATAAAATATTTTTTTTATTCAAGAGGGTCTCACCCCCCATATGAGGAGGGTGTACACACCCTCTATATACATGGTAATGTACCACTAGCAAAACTGTTAATTACTTGTCTCTTTTATAACGATTTTGCTAGTGGTACATCACGATGTATATAGGGGTGTACACCCCCTCACATGGGGGTGAGATCTGCCTGAATAAAAAAATATTTTATAGAATTTTGTTACTTGTACATAAAAATTGTACATAAAAGATTACATGTAGGGGAAAATGATTTGATGAAAAAATTGACCGTGTTTCAAACTGACAAATGAGAATGACATGTGGCATTATGTAACCTATTATGTAATCATTGATGTACATATAGTAAGATCCTATTTTATACAAGTGAGTCCTACCCCCATATGAGGGAGGTGTACGCCCTTATGTTCATTTTTTGATGTACAAGTAGAATTATTCATTNCCCTCACATGGGGGTGAGACCCGCTTGAATAAAAAAATATTTTATAGAATTTTGTTACTTGTACATAAAAATTGTACATAAAAGATTACATGTAGGAGAAAATGATTTGATGAAAAAATTGACCGTGTTTCAAACTGACAAATGAGAATGACATGTGGCATTATGTAACCTATTATGTAATCCTTGATGTACATGTAGTAAGATCCTATTTTATACAAGTGAGTCCTACCCTCATATGAGGGAGGTGTACACCCTTATGTACATTTTTTGATGTACAAGTAGAATTATTCATTTTATAATTAACACCAATCGTAGTGAATGAGCAAACTGGCATTCCATTTTCACGGATACACATATACATAGATATAGATAGAGAAAGAGAGGAGAAAATAAGTGTTCTTGCCTATTACTACACCTATATTCCTGTATTCTTGATTCTTCAGTTACTATGTTGTTATGACGAATTGGTTGTCAGAATACTAGTGACTGCCGATTCTTTTTCTTGGAACAGCAATCTAGATACTTAATGACTTGTCCAATGTGTAAGTAAGAAGATGATTGTGTTGTGCTGATATTTGAGGACAACATATATCAAATTCTCGACATAAAGGTCAAATCAACTAAAAATTGACAAAAAAAAACCTTACCTGTTTGACATCCATTTTAATGATTTTTTTTTTTGGAAAATGAGTGGTTAAAAAGTAGGAAAATACGTACATAATATTTTATTGTGTGAATATATGGTTGAAAAAATAAAGGTTTTAGTTTAATGGTTATCAAACATTGGCATAGTTTGATATAACTAGGCATTGGAATTATAATGGGCAACATAAATATCGAAATTGGAAGTATCTACATTTTCTTGGGACTAATTAAGGCCGCTCCAATTGGATAAGCTCATTTTGCCTTAAAGTTATACAAAATAAACTCAGTCTATCCTAACATATATGCTCGAGTTCACTTGTAAGTTACGAGGTATCAAGTTGTTTAGAAATGCTTTATAGTTCAAATTCAAATCTGGTACAGATATCTAAATTTTGATAAGTTCATGTTTGGCCAACAATGGGAGGAGGATTGTTGGCAATTTGCTCAGCAAATTTGTGTATTATTTAGACTGATTTAGTTGAACTGTTCAAGTTGTTGAACTAGATGTTGCAAGTTTAACGAATAATGGGACACACCTAAAGACTTTATATCAGAAATGGATGGAATTTTTGGCACATGAAACACAATGACGTGTTAGCAGCAACACGGTCGATTACTCGGATATCGAACAAACTGATTAGGGATATCAGATAAACCAGAAACAGTTTCAACGAAATAAAACTCAAGCCATATGTTCCATGTGAAACCTCAAAAAAGAATTTCAGAAAGACACTATTATCAAACAAGACACAAACAGATTCATCAAAAACCATTGATTTTAACAACCACCCGAGGGGCAACTTTATGTTGCTCGATTGCACCCAAAACCCAAATTTATCTATTACACCGAAGCAAGTTACTTCACAACTGTCAACCCATAAAATCTTCTTAACATTCTAACAGAAAAACAGCAGGTTCTGCTTTAGCTGCATACTCGTATTTGTATGTACTGTACTTCTTGTGCACACCTGTAAGCTTCCCAGTGCCTGCCTTCTGATGGAAGCATACCATGAGTTTGGCACAATCCCTACGAAATAATATCATTTTTTTTTAGTTCTACTCAATCATTAACATTTTATTTTTTTAACTTAAATAGGAGAAGCTACTCACAGAAGTTCGTCTTCAATGTATTTTGTATGCTTCTGGCAAGTCTTACTCCACAGCGTCGCCCCTCTGAAAGTACATTGAGCAGTAAAAATAGCAGCAGCTGCTAGTAAAGAGGGTGGGAACCTAAGCATCTCGTACTCAACCAGGCACAATTCGATCAAAAAGAAGGCTAGCAGCTCCAACTAGTTAAAAGTTAAAAAAGAAAGTGTGACAATTTGTAAGTATTTGGGAGTATAATAGATAATAATTTAACAAACTAATGTAGCAAACATGTTTTTAAACTACCAACCTACCTTTTTATAAGATTGAGCAGCTTTGAGAAATCGTATCATGAACACATAAGGAGTTGGAACTGAAAGATTGAACTGAAGGGTATTGATCATTAATTTCTCCTGCCGGAATCACAAGGAAACTGTTACACACGGTAAAAATATGAAGCTAGCAGAGCATGTACATGATAGATTTATCAAAATATAACACACCATATCAAGAACTTCCTTTCTAGAGTAAGCTTTGTCAGAAATCAATACGAGATCTTCCACAACAGGAACGGTAACTTCTTCATATTTGCAAGCAAGAAGCATAGCTGTCACCCCAACAAGTTGGAGTTTCTTTCTCACAATTGGATGTACTGCTAAAAATCTATCGATGAGATTGACAGTTAAATATAAGGTCTCATCCATCAGCTCGAACTTGTAATGCACCTATACATATTGTAACAATAATGAGGTTCAACTGCTTATTTAGATCTCATAAAGAGACCCTAAATAGTACATCGTTTTATTACCTCAATCAGCCAATCAATGAGAATACCTCTCATCCTTTCGTTAATATCAAATTGTTGTGTCATATAATTTGGCGGGACGTAGCTTAAACTCTGCAAAATAATTATTACATAGTAGAAATCACAAGAAGAAAGGAAAGTTTTAGTACATAAACCGAATGCAAGTGAAAAACCTATTACTCAATTTTGGAACTTCTCTATGAATAACAACTGTTAGCATCTCCTTATAAAGAATTACAGTAACAAATAAGAAAAAAATCAATTGAAACAAGGTGAAGTTAGCATACTCCGCACTTGATCTTATAACCTAATCTTGTTAAACTAGTCTACCTTTGTTGCTTGTACCGAAATTTTTTGTACATTGTACATGGTGAGCATGGTATAACAAGTTCAACTAGTTTAAGCAAGAAGCTTCATTAACAGAATGTAATGAATTAAGAAATCCATAGGCAGCAATAAGCTTCATTAACAGAACATAATGAATTAAGAAATCCATAGGCTTCGGTTCAAAAGATCAACAATCACAAATAATACAGAAAACAGAAGGGTACGAAAGTAAAGGATAACAAAAAATATTTGTGTACACTGTATATGACTGAGCATAATAGTTTAAGCAAGAAGCATCATAATTAATTAAGAAATCCATAGGATTAGATAGCTCCATCACAAATAATACCGGAAACGAAAGGGTCAAAAAATAAAGGAAAAAGGACAAAATTTTACCTCTGTCTTCTTATAGTACGCGTATATATCATCAATATACTCGACTGCTGAAAGTGGATTTTTCTTATCACCACTGTCTATGTCTACAACTGGCTCCTCCATATCATCAATGTCTTCCATTTCAACTTCAGCATCCTAAATCAATTGCAAGATCAATGATGCCATCTAAAGATAATTAGTAGAACGAAATCAAGCAGATATTAATATACCATTCGATCAATTTCTTGCAGCATAGCTTCTGTGTGTTGAACAAACATCGGCATATCAAAGTCGCCCGTGGCCTCGTCTACATCAATAATAAGGCAGTCTTCAGATTTCCATCCATTAGAAACTGGTTGGAGAGATGGCTTGACTTCCTACGATGGCAAAATTTGAGATCTTAGACACGGTAAGAACTCTCTCAACACAAATTTGAATAATGAATAAAAAGATCCTACAAAGTTATACCTCAAGTGATTGCTGCTGCTGATTGCCAGCCATTTGTGCAGCAAACTTCCTGAACATGCACCAACAAGTAAATAAATAATTAAAGGTCCATAAAACCTATTTATCAATTCATAAATTCTACTCAATTATATCATTTTACAAGAAAATACATCTCTTGCCAAAAATCGCACAACTTTTTTACATTTCATAAAAGACAAGTATCTTTTTGTTTTTCCCATGATAAACGTCAAAACAACAATAAAAGAAGGCAAAACCTACTCATCGATTTACTTTTTGTAAACCACATATATATTCTACTTTTCCCAAAGAAATAAAACAATAGAAAGAATGCAAAGTCTCTTCATCAATTGTGCAATGATACTCAAATTAAACCCTTCTACATTCTGCAACATAAAACTATTTATTTTTACTGCTAAATATATCTTTTGCAAAAATGGTATATTCTTTCCCTTAACATATGTATATTTTCCCAATAAAAAAAACAACAATAAATCGAATTCCGTTAAAAATACAAATTCAAGAATGGTCATTTTAACTAACCTAGTGACTGGTCGATGAATGGGAATGGCAGGATTCTTATTTCCATCAGCATTTTTCCTGCAAATATAAATTGGGATGAGTTATAAAAATTACTAAAACATTAATGTAAAGAAAGAAAGAATCTTGTTGAACATCAAAGTGCGGGGTTATGAAATTCATACTCTGTTAAAACACCTCTCTTGTGGACAGCAAATGTATAAGGGGGAGGTGCAATTATGTTCCTATTGATTGTACCCAGTGCCCTCCTAGTTTGCCCGGCTCCAGCAGCCCTCAAACCACCTAATGGTCATCAATAAATTATAATTTCCCTCCTTTCCATGATAAGAGTTATATCGAATAAGAAATTTACTAATTAAAGGAAATTTGAAACCGAATAAGAATCAATCGAGTGTCAATTTTTCAAATTCAAACTTTTTTGAAAAATTAATACTACCTTGAATGTTTGAAGGCCTGATCACGCCTGGAAAGTTCTCATCCGATCTACCCATCATGATTATCTTGAAAAACAGCTACAAAATTGAAAAGATCAAATCAAATGCATATTAAAGAAAGCAATAAACCAATCATCAAAAAAAAAAACCAGCGATCTTCTGCGGAAAAAATAAATCAAACAATCAATCAAGATTCGATTCAAGGCACAAGAACAAAAACCCAGATAGTAAAACCTAAAAGGAAAAAAAGAAAAAAAAAATCCACCTTCAAAATCAAGAAAACCCCAGAAAATTTTGTACTCTAAATTCAACGTGAAAATTTAGACATCGAAAGATCTCAGTCTCTTTTTCTCTCTCTCTCTCTCTCTGAGTGTTATTTGTATATTTTCTTGGGGATTGAAATTCTTCGAGTCAATTGAGTCAATATAAGGGAAAATTGCTTAACGAAAATGTTAACAGCGGATATTTGTCCGAATTTCTCTAATATAATTTGAAAACAACGGCTAGTAAACCTTGGCCGTTGGATGAAAAATGGGGATGTTCCGCTTTTGGACTTAAAACGGTAACTTCTACTCCTATTGCCTTTGTTTCTGCCCCATGTTATTTTTTCAAACTTTTATCATGCCCTTTAATTAAGGTTTATTGAATTAAGTTACCAATTTTAATTTAATTCCACTTTTATAGCTAATAATTTCAAATAATACGGATTATTGAGATATATAGATCCATTTTAATTAATTTTCACAATCTGAATTTTGAAAAAAAAAAAAACAACATTGTATAATAAATTGCGTGAAATGAATTTAACGTTTCAAATTATATTTTTAATAAATACCATACTTCTATTAGTATTTGAAGGTTGTCGGATGCACGCGAACATGTTCCGATTTTGTATTGACAATTGAATTTTGATTGAAGATGCCACATTGTTCCCATTTATCAATCCATTGCATCATTATCTGCTTTGATTTTATAGTGACTCGACAATAATAAAGTTTGAATCAACTTAACTCTCACAAAAAAAATCATATACTTGTATAGATAATTATACAACCCCTTAAATAAAAAAATAAGAAATAAAATTGTATACACTAGTACGCCTATCACTATATATCTTTTATGATGGCTATGAATCACTTGGAATGTTAGTATTTTCACTTGTAATTATTTAACTGAGGTAGGTAGCTTATTCTTTTTCTTTTCTTTTTCATTAAAATTTAATGTTTTTAACCTTAAGTCGTTATTCAAAAGACACTTTCAGGAACATGATCTTATTAGTTCAAACTTCGTGTCTTACGTGACGATGCTAACATTATATTTTTGTGACCGAAAAAAACCTCACCTTAGATTCACCGATATCTGAGCAAGCACTTCCCTTATTATATTTACACTAAGAATATATATATATATTTGATGTATAAGAAACAAAATTAAATCGGATGATAAACATGAAACTTCACTTAAAGTTAAAGGACCAATATTATTTTATACCCAAAGGAAGTTTTTCTGCGTGAAAGTAATGATGATTTGATTTTGAAATGTTACACATTACTTTTTGGAGCCTAGATAGGGATGATATACTTTATTTATTATCTAGTACCTTAGAGAGAATTATTTTAAATGCAACTTTACATTAAATTCACATAAATGTTATATATTTGAGACGAGTAAATTTAATCAATTATCACTTAACTTTAAAATTGTTACTACTTACTCACTAAATTTTAAAGAGTTATTCAACACTCTCCCATCTTTTCATATGGTTATCCGTCCACCCCTCTTTTAAGACTCGTCTCTCTACATAGATGGAAAATTACACGCGGACAACAAAAATTCTGCATGGCGTAATGATGACATTAATTATGTTCAAGTCACTAAAAAGAACCAAACAAACACTCCTTTGTATTATTAACCCAAATCAAAATCCCTAAACCAGAACCCCCAATCACGCCTATATGATGCCACAAAATTGAAGTTTTCATTATGACATTGAGGAACTAACATCTTGTCAACTTATTAGTATATCATAATATAAGTAAAAATGAATAAAAAAAAAAATTGGCAGATGCTGCACGGAGAGCTCTATGCAGCACAAAGAGTTTACATGGAACTCTCCATGCTGAATGGTGAGTTTCTTTTCAATTCCTCCTCCTTGCACCTCTTTTCTGCAAGAGTAGCTTCAACTACTTCATGTACCTTCAATTCCTTCTCTCTATCAGCTTGTAATGAAGCAAGAAACTCATCCTGCGTGGAATCATAGATTAAAATCAAGGACAAACTGATCTATTTCTACTGCAAGCACATAATTCAAACCTAATGTTCCCGTATCAATCCCTGAGCTATAAGAGAAGGCGGTAGAGAACGAAGCATATGCCTCGGGTAAGGATCCATAGGGCTATCTAAACCATTCTGCATGAGTTGATGAGGTGCATAAGGGATATGATATTCGCTTCTTTCTAGAATGCCACCAAACATTGCAACCTCAAGCATTACTGCTTCATCATGTTCCTCAGATGAGATGCCACCCCACTTTAAACAAATGTACATAGGAAGCATATTTTATCAGTATTTTAAAAGCATAAAACGGTCAATTTTAGTTTCCAAAAGATCATTTCAAGTTAATATACATAAATGTCAAGAAAAAATGTTACTTCATCAGAGGGGAAGTCACTTCCATTATGCTGCAAATGATGAAGGCTATCACACTGCCTAGGACTTGATGGTGGGTTAACATCAACTTCTTCAATATTTTGGGTAATAGTGTCAACGGAGCTCTTCGTGCAACATCAGACAATTTTTTTTCCTGTTTTTCATTAATTTTTATTTATATTATGATATAATGTATGTACTTCGAATAACAATTCATTGAAAAAACATTAATCCAAAAACCATTCATCCTTAAAATATTCATTCAATCTGATGCGCCAACTTGAGGTACTGATGCACCGGCACCAAAATTCAGGTGCATTCCAGAATCAAGTACATCAGATGCTATTTCATAAGCTTATCAGGTCTATTGTACATTGCTAGAATATAAACTATTGGAATAAAATAAACTCCTTGATATTTGACTTTCAACTTGACTAGATCTATCTTCATTTATATGATTAAGATTATTTCCATCCCAATCCTGAATTCAGGAAACAAAGTTAAAAATTTAATTTTAACTACATAACTTTAGAACATGCTTAAAAAAAAAAAGAAACCTCAATTGGTGCATCTGCCTTATTATGGTAATGCTTGTTATGGCTAGTTAAACCACATACACCGCAAGTAATCTTCACCGTGCCTTTTTTCTTCATTCTTGAAATGGAGCCAGAACGAGTGATTACATCTTCCTCTTGTTGCCTTCTTCACTTTTTCTGCTTCCTTCCCCTCTTCGCCATAACCCAACCTGGTGCTTGTAAAGGGACAATATTCACTTCCAGCTACAATTTCTTACCATTAATTGGATTGACAATGTTTTCATAGCACTGTAGATAGGTTTGCACTGTATAGCACTCATGCACATACTTTGTAGGATTATCCCATCTATCTAGTATAACAGCAACCCCATGCCCACATGGAATCCTCTTCAAATTCTATCTCCTACATGCACATGTATTGCTTGATAAATCAACCACATATTCCCCAGTATGACATTTCACATAATATTGCAGCCTCTCAGACCATTCCACTTCACACTCTTCAACTATTTCCATAGATTTAGCTATTTTTTGTTGGATCTTAAGACAAAAAGGTCCTCAAGCTCTTCTCATTTTATCCCCCCTTGATTGTATTCTCTTCATGCAACTGATATGCATGTCAATTAACATAGTCAAGATTGATTTTCTCCCTATCTTCTGACACTACATTGTTGAAAAATTCACATAATTGTTAAGCACTATATCACTATTTACCTTAGTTGAGAAATGAGACTTACTCCATTCACGTGGATCCTTTTTCATTAACCACTCATATGCACATGTACTCTTATTTGCAAGTTCATCCATCCAAAACTTCCAATCATGTACAGTAGTTGATTTTACAGCTTTCCATAAGTAGCCTTTAAGTGCCAAACTCTTAAAATCAGCCCTGAAGAAATTTCTATACATATGCCTCACACAAAACCTATGTTCAGCTTCAGGGTACAAATCCTCAATAACCTTTTGTAATCCCTTCTGCCTATCAGTCATAAAAGTCCATTTATTGCTATTCACAATCCTTGAATCTTCACCCAAATGACTAATAGACCATTTCCAACTTCTAGCATTCTCAGTCTCCACTATTGCGTATTCTACTGTGTAAATACAATCATTGGCATCTAGTGCCACTGCAACAAGCATCTGTCCACCAAAATTCCCTTTCAAAAAACACCCATTTAAGTCTAAAAGTTGCCTACAACCACTCATAAAACCTCTCTTGCAAGCTTCTAAACATATATAAATCCCTTGAAACTTAGACTCATGTGTAGTAACTATACATGTAGATCCTGGATTGCTTCTCAAAGTTTCATGAGAAAAAGACCAAAGCAAGCCAAACTGGCGTTCATTAGATCCCTCAATCAATATCCTTGCGTGTCTTCTAGCTCGCCATGCAGTAACTATTGATTAGTAATTTCAAGTTATCTCTCACAGCCTTAATAATGAGTTTTGACTTCCAATCAGGGGCAACCTTAAAAGTCTCTAAGTACTTCTCAGCAATATACTTAGACATACAATGCATATTTGTTCTGTCTCGTATGCATGTGTGTTGCTAAATGAATGTCTTAATTTGCATGCAGCTCTTCTTCTTATTCCATGAAACCTAAATCTTCCACTTGCAATCCTTTTTTTTACATACTCCTCATGCTCTCTAATCATCATTCACCTTAAATTTCAAATTACACCTAGTGATAGCGCCATGATGTCTAACTGCTTTCTTAAATTCTTCTATATCCTTGAACTCTTTTCCAACCTCTAGTTGTGGATCAAACTTCTCCATTTCAATATCATAAGTGGAAAAACGATAATTATTTTCCTCGCCTGAAGATTGATCAATATGCAACTCCTCCTCAGAATATGCATAATAGTGGATCATCCAATTTCGAGCCATCATCTTCAGTAGCTGTTTGAAATTTAAGGTCCGCATTCAGACCAACCACAACTCTTCCTAGTGCATTTCTCTGATAACGAAAACCACCATCGTCCACATCATCCTTCGAATCATTTAGCTGGCATCAAGTGGCATCAAATCTTTACCTTCATTGTTCGTCACTGGAATGAAAAGGACTATGATTAATACTTGTTATATCTAAAAGGCTGGGTTAAGGTATTGCAACAAAAGTATGGCTAGGGTTTTAGTGAATCCGATTAAAAGATTGCCTATTTCAAAACATTCAATTTAGAATCATTTAGATAAACATCAAAATTTTTATTTATTTTTACTTCATGCCCATAAGGAAACAAAGCATGTTCAACAAAATAATATAAAAATTTACCTTCTCCTTGTCTTTCTTGCTCAACTTCCAACAATGCATCTTCCATCCAATTATTGTCCATACGAGGGCTTGTGGGTCACCTATACCCTCCATTATCCAGAAAAGAGAAGAATTCCCAAGCCTAATAAGTTGATTTGAGGGAGAATTTTGAAAAATTGATAGGAGTTTTTCTTAATTTTCCCTTCTAGTGAAGAAATGTCGTGAAAATAGGTAGATGTGTGATTTTAAGAATATATGTTGTGGGTTTAATTACAGGTCATCAAGATTTAATGGAGAAAGTTTGTCACATTTGATTACCATTATCCACCTGTAATTTTCCGTTTACTTGGAGAGATGTGAGTTAAATGAGTGATGGATGGATAATTATTTGTAAAAATGAGTGAGTATTTGGTAACCCATTAAAGATGAGTGAGTAAGTGTAACAATTCTAGAGTTCAATGATGATTCATTAAATTTACTCTATTCGAGACTTATCAGTTCCTACTAGACGATATACTAATTACCATAAGACCCTGTTTGATTTGGCATCATTTACATGGAACTTGGAAATGAAATTTCATCTTCCACCAAAAGGCATGTTTGATTGGAAAAAATTTCTTGGCAATTCATTTTCTTGGTTTTGGCTCACACGGTGCCAATTCATTGATTTTGGGAATTGATTTTTCAATTTACTTTTTAAAAAAAAAAAAAAAATTGGCAATAGAAACAAATTTTATCCCCAATTATAACAAATTTTGTCCCTTTAATGGACAATTTTCATATAAAATAAAGTCAAAAGAACATCAAAAGATCCAAAATTTTAATATTTTCCACATGGAAAATTATACGAATCAAACACAATTAATTGACAATTTCAGGAAAACAATTCTAGATAATTCAATTCCCTGAAATTTAATTTCTTTCCACCCAAATTTCGCTCTTGTAATCAAACGGACCCTAATAGTTAAACATTCCTAAGAACTAAATGCAATCATATTATTTATATGTCATATAATAACTAACATTATTAAGTTTAATGTTAGAAGAATGAGTTACTTCCCGTTCGTGTATAGTATCAAGCTCGATTTAGCTCAATTCTTCATATCACTTTAAATATGGCTTTGAATATCCTGTTTAATTTGCTTAAGTTGACTTTATAATGTATTACATCTATCCTCTAAACTTTACATTGCCCTTCTCTAAGTAACATGACTTGCTTTCGTCCCTTGATTCGAAAACTGAATTTAATATGCCCCATTAAGATTAATTCTTTAGTCTTTATATGCTCTTCTTCTTTTGTTGTTGATTCATCAAGTTCAATGGTCGGTCTATCATCCAAGTAGATTAATTTTTAAAATTCATATTAATCACTATATACACACACACATATATATATATATAAACACTCGCCAGGAGCCGATTGCTCTTAACGAGAAATTGATGACACATAGTAGGTCATTTTTCTCTCGAATGAGAGATTAAAGATGAAATTGAATATTTATTTCAAGATTAGTTTTGGAATTGAACATCTATGCAAAATTGAAGTATCGCTTAATTTACCTTCTGTGAGTACATTTATTTTCTTTATAATCTTTACAGCAACTCGTATTAGATTGTGTTACGTTGTCATCTTTCTTATACATCCCTTGAACATATCTCACCTCTCCACAACTATCTTCTGGACTCTCATCTTTATTTTATTATTCATGTAAAAATAATAAAGATGATTTTCCAAAATAAACAACGTTAATATTTTATGTGGAATGTGAATCAATATAATCATAGTCAATTCACTTAAAATGAAATTGATATCCCGTCCACAGTGGGTAAAAGATTATAATGCTCATTATTGATGTGACAATGTGTGGCATTGTGACGTCAGCAGTTGGGGATTAAAAAAAAAAAACTCGCTGATTCGTTGTCACATCAGCGATGGACATTACATTTATTGTTCACGGTGAACGGGAGATCAGCACTATTACTTATAATGTTTATATTAAATCATATTCTCAATAATCGTATTATTGAATAAAGTTAATTTCACCGTTGGTGATGAAAGTTTGTGTGAAATTTCAAGTTGGTAATTAACGTTTCCTCATGATTCATTTAGTCACTAAAATTTAAAAGGGTTTCACCATTGATCACACGCTTAGTAAAATTAATGTATAATGTGATGTGACATTTGTTAAGTGGACCAAAAGCCATTGAAATGTACAGTCTTGGTACACATGAAGTTACATAGCCCACTCATATGAGGTGGGTCCTACATAGGCGATACACATGAAGTTACACAACCCACTCATATGAGGTGGGCCCCACAAAAATGTGGGACCCACCTCATGTGAGTGGGCTGTGTAA